TATACAACAAATTTTCTTTCTTTATCAAGCTATCCAACACTTGGAGATCTTTATATAGTGTTCCTTATTATTGCAAATACAATAAATAATATTCAGAATAATAATAATATGTTACAACAAGTTACACAAAAGATAAAAAAAAATTAGATAAATATTGGAACAAGCTTAAAACTACCTTTAATGAAGCTGTAATTCTCGACCCAAATAACAAGCTAATACCATTCAATAATGAAGAAGAAAGGTAAGAAACACAGCATGCTATTTATACAACTTATGAAACAAACTATGCAATTAGAAGTGGTGGCATTTCAACAACAAAACTCTCTAGATCAGAAACTTCTCATGGTTATTTTTGTAAGAAATATAGTGTATCTATAAATCATAATGATATTCTTAAAGAATATCTTGATTTACCTGTTAAAAAAATTAATATTCTTGATTACTAGAAAACTAAATCTAAGAATTCTCAATAGGTTCAACTTGTTCATATAACACATGACTACTTAGTAGTTCAAGTGACAAGTGTGGCAAGCAAACAAATGTTCAGCATAGCCAAATTTATTATTAGTCTAACTAGAAATCGTCTTGAGCTAGAAAAGGGCTTGTACACTTCACATTTACTTTTCTACATTTACATTTTTTACTATCACAAGAACCCTTACAGTTACAAATAGAACTTGATATCATTCCTATACTCTGAAGTCTTCCCGCTTCTCAAATAGATACTTGACTTGATAGAATTTTATTGAGTTCAGAGTAAATATTAATTCTAAGTGCTTCAAGCTTACTTGAAGAGTAACAGATATTAATGATACCAAATTTATAGCCCAGTTGATATTGATTATCTTTAGTTTTCTCAACAATCTTGCAAGGTAAAGTGGGTTGATCGATATTGAATCGATCAATCTTCGGAATGCTTACTCTTATGAAGTCACCAACTTGAAAATTAACAAGCTTTCTTTTTTTTAACATTTGTTGTGATATTTCTCTGTATACTGCTGAAGGTTTTGTCATGCATCTTCCTGTAATATTTCATATCTCTCAGAGTTTAAGTTATTAGTTATATCAGCAAGAGCTAGAATTAAATTTGATATTTTAGCATTTATTATACTTTATAAAAATAAAATTAACAAACAAATTCTTAAATAACTTACCATAGTTGTTGCTAGGTTGAGACTTTGAATAGCCAAAAGTTTCAAATAATGAATCCAAACCAGGATTGTTATCAAATATGCAACTATCAGACAAAAGTACTGTATAACAACCAAGGTCAAGGTTATCGGGTGGCAAAAACACTAGACTACAATTACTATTAGATGAAAGTATCAGATTTTGGGGCAAAAATACTATATAAATTATTAATTTATTAGGTATCATACTAGACAATCAATATTATTATGTTGAAAGCAATGTATAATTACCATAGTTTGGCAAGGGCACAAAATGTTCAGGCAAAGGCACTGTATTATTGGGCAAAGGCACTATATAACAATATTATTAAATTTATAGAGCACATACTAGGCAATAAACATTATTATAGCAAAAGCAATGTATAGTTACTATAGTTTGGCAAAGGCACAGGATGTTTGAACAAAAGCACCAGGTTATTGGGCAAAGGTACTATATAACAATATTCTTAAATTTATAGAGCGTATACTAGGCAATCAACATTATAATAGCAAAAGCAATATATAGTTACCATAGTTTGGCAAAGGCATCAGGTTATTGGGCAAGGGCACTAAATAACAATATTATTAAATTTATAAAGCATATACTAGACAATCAACATTATAACAACAAAAAAAATATATAGTTACTATAGTTTGGTGAAGGCACGGGATGTTTGGACAAAGGTACCAGGTTTTTGGGTAAAGACTCTAGATAACAATATTATTAAATTTATTAGGTAGTATACTAGACAATCAACATTATTATAGTAAAAGCAATGTATAGTCACCATAGTTTGGTGAAGGCACTGGATTTTTGGACGAAGGCACTGGGTTTCTAAATGAATGCACTAGATGACAATATTATTAATTTATCAAGCACATATTAGACAATCAATTAATATGGCAAAAGCAATGTATAGTCACCATTATCTAGCAAAAACACCAAACAACTACCAAGATTATTGGGCAAAGATACTAGGTTTTTTTACACTAAACAATTACGATGTTCATTAAATAAAGACACCAAATTTTGGAGCAAAGACACTTTATAACAATGTTATTAAATTAATTATGTAATACACTAGGCAGTCAACATTCAGTAAAAGTAATATATAGTTATCATAGTTATTTGGTGAAGGTACTAGGTTGTTGGGCAAAGTTACTGAGTTATCAGACAAAAGCATTAGACTTTTAGACAAAGACACTAGATAACAAACATTATTAAATTTATTAGACAGCATACTAGATAATCAATATCACAGTGAAAGCAATGTATAGTTACCATTATCATTCTGCAAAGGTACTGAACAATTATTATATGAAGGCACTAGGTTCTTGGGTGAAGACACTTGATAAAATATTACTAAATTTATTATATACTATACTAGACAATCAACAATTAGAAAAATAATATATAGTTACTATCATTGTTTGGTGAAGGCACTGGGCTATTGGGTGAAGGCACTAAATAAAAACATTATTAAATTTATTAGATGACATACTAGATAATTAATATTACTAATAGTAAAAACAATATAGTTACCATAATCCAGTGAAGGTACTGAACAATTATTGAACAAAGGCACCAGGTTTTCAGGTGAGAGTACTTGATAAAAAAAAGTTAATAAATTTATTATGTGCTATAATAGACAATTAATATTTGGCAAAATTAATGCATAGTTACCATAGTTGCTTAGTGAAGGTACTAGGCTATCAGGCAAATGTACTAAGTTTTTGGGCGAAGACACTAGATAAAAATATTATTAAATTTATTAGACAATATACTAAATAATCAATATTACTAATAGTGAAAGCAATATATAGTTACCATAATCTGGCGAAGGCACTAAACAATTATTAAATGAAGGTACTGGGTTTTTGGGCAAGAGCACTTTAAAAAAATATTACTAAATTTATTATGTACTATATTGGACAATCAATATTTGGCAAAAGTAATATATAGTTACCATAGTTGTTTGATAAAGGCACTAGGTTTTTGGGCGAAGACACTAGATAAAAATTTTATTAAATTATTAGATAACAAACTAGATAATCAATATTACTAATACTGCAATAGTAAAAGCAATATATACTATAGCTACTATAATTTGACGAAGGCACTAGATAAAAATAGAATTAAATTTATTAGTGATATTAAAAAAAAACTAACATCTGGCTAAATAATTACAATAGTTATTTGGCAAAGGCACTGGGTTGTTGGGCAGGTTTTTAGGCAAAGACACTAGATAAAAATATTATTAAATTTATTGAATGACATGCTAATTTATCAACATTACTAATGATAAAAGCAAAATATAGTTACTATAATCCGGCGAAGGCACTAGACAATTATTAAATAAAGGAACCAGATTTTTGAACAAAGATATTTTATAATAATGTTATTAAATTTATTAACAAATACCAAAAAAATTAGCATCTGATATCTAGCAAAATCAATCAATATATAGTTACTATAGTTATTCAGTGAAGGCACTGGGTTATTTGGTGAAGACATTGGGTTATCAGACAAAAGCATTGGACTTTCAGGCAAAGGCACTATATAACAATATTATTAAATTTATTAGGCAGCATACTAGACAATTCATATTATCAGGCAAATCAATATATATTTACCATAGTTGTCTGGCGAAAACACTAGAAAATTACAATGGTTATTGTATAAAGATACTGGGTTTTGGGGCAAAGACACTAAATAACTAATGTGATTATTGAGCAGAGAAACTGAACAACCAGCATAACCAGGCTTGGGTAATTTTTCTTGATTATTGGGTGAAAACTCTAAAATAAATAGTAAAAGTTTAAAGTAATAAAATAATTAAAATGCTTTTTATTATTTAATTAATTGTTATACTAGACATATCATCATTCAAATCCATTTCATGATCATTGGGGATTTCAACTGTATCTGGAATTGCCTCTTCATCAAAAATATTATTTTCATAAAGTTCATTAACAAGAGAATAGTTGTCACAGGGCTTGTCACCATAAACTAGTTCATAAAGGGTTTTTTTGTATGATTTACACCATGAATTGTTCATGGCTACCACAACGAACCTCAACCCAAATGACTAGTCACTTCAACTAGTAGTTTCATTCCACTTTTCTAACTTTTGCTATAAAATACCATTAGTGCATTCAACAAGACCTTGTGATTGAGATGCCTAGAGCGTCTATTGATAATCTTCACTAATAATCATAACCTAATCAGTTCTCTGATAACTTGTGCTACAAATTCTTTTCTATTATCCAACTATAATATTGTTGGAGGTGATCCAATCATGTAAAAAAGATTGAAAAAATATGATACAACTTCAATTAGTCTCTTGAATGTCAAGGCCCTGGCTCACGAGAACCTACTAAAATAGTCTCTAATATAGCACATATACTTAAACTCACCATCTGGGATGTAGAATAGGTCGATCAGATCTATCTGTAAAATAAAATATAATTTAAAAAAAAATCTAATTTAATTTAATCCCAAAAATATAATATTTATCTGCAGACATGATAAAAAATTTTTTGCAATAATTGGTTTTACTGCCAAAAGGTGGAATGATGGTTTTCTTACTGTACATGCTGTACAATTGTTCACGAATTGTTCAACAATTTCTTGTTTAATAAACTCCCATCTTTTGCAAATTGACTTCCAAGTCTGTTTCTAACTACCATGCTACATTATCTCAGCATGGGTTTGACATAAAACCTCATAGAACTTTTCAACTACTAACACAGGATTATTAGTGTCCTTTACAACTACTTTATAATCCCCCAGCACAATTTCTTCAAGCCAGAATTTTTTTTTGGCCCAAGATTATAAATTTTTATCATAAAGAAAGCTATCATTTAGATTTAATAGGATTGCCTTTATTTGATTCAAAATTTCATTATTTATCAAGACTTTTTTTTGCTTTGATTTTGAAAAGTTACTTATATACTTCTCCACGATTTTGTCAAGAGTATTTCTGCTAATAAACATATATTCTATTTGTAAGAAGAACCAAGGCTAAGTTAAAACCAATATTAAAAATAAAGTGATATCAAACAAAGACAAAGCTAGATTAAAAAAAATAATAAGATGCCAAAGAATAATGCAAATGCTTAAGAAACAAGATCAATAAAATAAGCAAGTCAAAGAACAAACAAGATCAGAGTTATAAAGTAGATATTAAAAAAAATATTGTGACATAGTAATACCAAATCAAAAAAAAAAGAATTGTCGTGACATAGTGACACCAAATCAAAGATATTAAAAAAAA